GAGCAGGGAGCCCGATGTGGGACTCGATCCCAGGACCCTGGGATCATGACCTGAGCCGAAGGCAGACGCTTAACGACTGAGCCACCCAGGCGCCCCAGGAAATATTTTTTTTAAAGCAACTTACCTTCCAATGCAATTGACAGAACTGAGTTTTCAACCAGCCAATCTAACAATCTGTCTGTATCTATAGCATTCTTCACAGATTTGGATAAAGTGCTATCTTCTATTAGTTTGGTTACCTAAAAAGACAGGATTATTGTGAATGACTAGTGCAAGTATGCATAAACAAAACCTACATATATATGTATACATATCCTGTGACTTACACAGTGTTCCAATGTGGTCTGATCATTAGCCAAAATGTACTGAAGGCCAGTTACTGTAGTAAGTTAACAGACTACTTATTCCTGATGTCTCTTTAAAAAGAACACGGAGCCAAGAATGGCACTCCCTGGATGGCTCGGGGAAAAGCATCTGACCAAACTTCCACCTTCGCACATCCTTCAAATTCTATACTTGGGACCAGAGAGAAAGTGTCAGTCCCTCCCTGGTAATGGGACCCTCTATGGCCATATGTCTACCCCACAAAAAATGTCACTCTGTAGGAAGAGAGAAAGCAAAGCCAACATGTTCAGAAAAGCAGGGACAAGACTTGGACAGAGTCCTGGCAGTGGTCAAGTCTCCAATTCTAGTTGTTCCTGCTGCCCACACGTGTCCCTGCCCTTACATGGTCTGGCTAGTCAATCCTTCATTCATGTCAAACAGCCCAGCCTTCCTCCATTTAATTCCTCTTTTGGCCCCAAATGGGTTCACAACGAGTGTATTCCACTTGCAGTAAAGAATCCTAATTAATACAGAACTTCAGGAAAAATGACTAAGTTCTGGAGTTATGACTGAACTATACTGGCCCCACCTATACTCACCAAAACCAACTATGTTTGGAAGAAGTTTAGGAAGCTATAGGAAAATATTTCCAGCATTTTGCTTAGATCGTCATAGTTGTCATCTTTTTGTTTTTGTCCCAACCCCAGTTAGAACATTTGGTTTAAGAAAACACCTATCTGAAATATAACAAAAAGAAGTATACCCCTAGGGTAAAAAGTAAATCTCAAATGGTCTATTCCAAGGAATTATGTTCTAGGAAATTTCATAAAAACACAACTATTTCAAATATTTCAGAGAATGAATTTTGAATGGAACACATATAAAAAGATCACATTAACAATTATAACCCTATATACCATTTTATATATAATCATTGTTCTCTTTTTTGTATGATTACAAGAAACCATTCTTCTTCACTTCCCAACATTTTTATATTAATGACCTTAAGTTTTGGCAGAGCTTAAAGAGTCTGTGCTTTAAGTCTTCTGGAAGCAAATATAAAACTTACTTCTTTGAGGGAATTCATTTTAGCGCTAAAATGTGGTGATTTCAGCATGCGCAGGAGGATATCTAACCGAAGGTCGTCCACCACGGTCACCAGATCCGGTTGGAAACGCATGCAGAGTAACTTGATGGCAGACAAGAGCTCAGGGATGCTAACCAATCTCTTTTATTAAAAGCACAAACAAACAAAAAAGGAACCATGAAAACATTTTGATCCTAATTCTTATAACACAGGAATATAGGACGTTTTCAATAGCAATGGTTTGGTGATATCTGATACTCCATATGGTCAATTAACTAGTTTGCTTTTAAACAAAAGTTAGCACACAGGTGAGCAAAAGGAAGGGTCCTGTGAGAATTTCATGGTCAACAAAATAAATCATGTTAAATGTTAAAATTGCTTTAAACAACTTTGGATAAGCTTGTAGTATCGAATTATTTTAAAGCTTCTTCAATGCTATACCAATTATAATACTATCTAAATCAACATGTTAGTAAAATTCTGAATAGTATCAGTTACTGAGAACCCTAAATTCACTCTATTGGTAAGATTTAATGCCAACTTGGTGCTTCAGAAAAAGCACCTGTTGGTTTGAAAATGTATAATTAAATTTGATGCGAGTAGTGTGTGACCAGAATCCAAAGAATAATGGTGTGTGAACCTTGCCCCAGGTCCTGGCTGTGCTTCCATGGACGAACAGGCACGGGGGCCTACCTGGCTGGAGACAGGATTTACCTTGTCTTTGAGGTCCTTCTCCTCCACACTCCGCACATCCTGGATCGTAGTAAGGATGACCGGGTCTAGCATCGGCTGCAGAACAAAAGTGCTGCACTTAATAAAGACTCCTGATGCTGCTCCAGAACTAGAGAGGAGACACTTCTTCATTCACATTTCACAAAGGAGAAAGTGCAATGCAAAGATCTCAATTCCAGTATCAGCTGCCATAGCTAGCTACTACCATCCTAAGTAGGCCCTCAAGGGACTCCATGCCCCAGCTCCTTCAATACCATGTGGGTGCAGTCCCTGTCACTGCTATCTTAGAAGAGTCCTTTTATTTTTTAAAATATGTTTTATTAAATTTTTTTTTGTTTTTGCCAATACAAGTTTGATGTTTCTTTTTTTCCCTTCAAATTTTTATTTAAATTCTAGTTAGTTAACATACAGTGCGCTATGGGGCGCCTGGGTGGCTCAGTTGGTTAAGCGACTGCCTTCGGCTCAGGTCATGATCCTGGAGTCCCTGGATCGAGTCCCGCATCGGGCTCCCTGCTCG